TGTTGGCAAGCCTACTCTAACCATTACTCTATACCTCAACAATAGTTGAGCGCTACTTTATAAACCAGTAACCTTGAGAACCTTGCTTGACTTTAGAAAAAGTAATTTGAATCTAAAAACAAAAGACATGAAAGTGGGTAGCAAAATTCTGTTCTCAGACTTGTGAGAAGGAACTAAGGGTACATATCCAAGAAAATACAGTCCTTCAAATTATATACCAATAGAAGATGGAAAACAGTGCCTCTGAAAAAAATAGCTTACCTCAGCCAAATACGTAACCATATTCAGGGTAATGTCAGCAAATGCTTCATGAAGGTAACGACAAACAACATTTACCCAGGTAGCACAGTCTCTCGTATAACTGTGAGTTTTATAAAGGGTCATGACATGTGCAAGATTTGATAGCTTAGGGTTTTTTTCTTCCAGACAAACCTAATTAAAAATGAATTAAACAGTGTCAAGAATAAGTACAAAACATTCACAAGATGGAATACTTTGTGCAATGCAGTAAATAAGCTTGGTACCTGAGCAATCCTTTCTGCTATTTCCTTACAGAACTGGTTTGGACTGTCAAAATGCTGAATTAAATGAGGCAGGAGACACAAGACGTTCAGTGGGAACCCTGGCACAGAAAATAGAATAAACAGTGGATATTTGATGAGAAGGTAGGGATATTCACCGTTTTAAAACAATACTTTTCTAGTAGTCATGATTACAAAAGTATGTATGTTAACAGTGCTACTACATAGACCCTATTACATTTGTTCAGTGCCTGTGTCACCTTAAAACTGTCTTTATTTCAGACAACACACAATCTATTACATAAATGACAACTTGATGGTGTCCTTACAAATATGAAACTGGTTCTGCAAACGTTACTAAGTAGAGTGCTTACTACTAGGCACAATGGGTGTCTGTACCCATGCAGGATGCCTGCTCCAACGTGTTCTATTGAGAATGCGCCAGTAGCCTCACCATCACATATATTCAGCATCCCTGTGTTTCAACATGGCGGTGGGGGTGCTTTAACCAAAGCTTGTAAAATGAGCTTTAGTGAAAGTGCCCCCGCTGTCATTTTGAAGTGCAGGATGCTGAATAAATGAGACGCAGCAGGCGTTTTGATTAGAGTAGCTCTCAAGAGCCACTTTAATTAAAATGCGGCCCACCCTGAGTACGTGTATAGATGCCCAATGCTATTGCAGTATAAACACTGTTCCTTATAACGAGTGTTTGCAGAATTAAACCATAATGCCCATATGCTGCTAGTTCATAGTCAGAAATGCAGTTAGTTTTTGGCTTAGAAATTAAGGCTCAGTTTCCTTCGTTTTACACTGCCGGAGTGTTAAGAATAGGATGTCAGAGGGAGAAAATTAGCCAAATGAGATTTTCCTGGCAGCAGAAAGAACTGTGCTAACTAACTGCTCACTCCCTCTGTATCAGAACTATGTCAGGATAATGGAGCTGCGGAGCTTAACTCTGCTATTCCAGCTTATGGTTGGCGTGTGATCACATATAACCATTAAGGTGGTAATACCAATGGGATCTTCACATGAGAGAGGATTTGGCCTTAACAAAATGTGCAATAACAGCCTATTTAACTTCAAAGACAAATTTAGCTTTTTATGTTTAAAAAAAACAAAGCAAAAGAAACTACAAACAAACATGAAAAACCACAAAACAGTTGGCAGCTTGTTCAGGTTCTTCATGGAAAACCTGCAGAACTGCTTGATCTACATTTTCTACAGATAGATAGAAATATTCTAGACCTGTCTGAGCCACTTTCTTCAATAATTCTGAAGAAAGTGGTCACAATTTCAGCTATCTGTTTGGGAATGTGACTCCCACTGACTCAGTACTGAGTTATCCCCCACTAATTCATTACCGTATATCTCCTAATAAGTGCACAATAAATAAGTGGTGAGTGTCTACACATGTGTATGTGGGTATATGTGTTTTAAACAAAAAGTCCATTATTGCTTCTCATTTAAAAATTGATAAGTGGATGCTAAAAACGAGAGGAAAAAATTGACCAAATTTATCATTTATTAATTCTGATAGTGTGCCTTTAAAAAGTATCATGACTATGAATTAATGAATCAAGTGTATTACCCTGATAGAAAGATTGACCAATTTAAAAATCATCCAGAAATGATCATTATCAGGATGGGTTTATGATGCCAACTTCAGCATTGAGTTACAGCTTTTTTTTTCAAAATCTGGAGGAATATGGGGTAAAAAAACTGGTTTTACCTTGGGACTAGTAAGGACTTATATGTGTTTTTCAGAGCCACCTCAAGAAAGGAGAATATAGTGCTTTATTACAGAAATATTGCAATAACTTTGTAGGCTTTGGTGGTTTCTTTCACTAGAAATGAAATGTTAAAGAATATTTCATTATAAAAATGGCATCTCTCCTCCTCATAATACCAACTTTTACTTTAGTTTTCAGTCAGAATTTCACTTTGGTTATTTTTTAGAAAGGTCTAATAGAAATATAACTATATACCTATTTTAAAAACAAAAACCAAAAATAAGTTGACAATGCATAAGGTTTTTTAATTACTACAAGTAAGCTTTATATGAAATAAAGAATTTTCTAATCAAAATGTGAAAGACTGAAACATATAACAGATTTACCTATAGCTTGAGACGAATCTACCATGGATATTCGTGACACTGGCGTCAGCAAACTGAAGAGCTGTAATGTGAGGTCAGTGGTGGTAAGGGAGGTGAATCCTTTCAGCAGCAGCTGCTGTAGTCCTGAGAAATCAGCCCATTTTAGCTGTCCTTGTAATTTTTCTAATTTCTCCCTATTTTCAACTTTATCCAGTGGCAAATGAGCTAGTAGTTTATTTAACAACCGTAATGCCATTAAGTACTCAAATTCAAAATCTGATTCCATCAAAGCCACTGCAACCCAGAAAATGGTGGCCAGCAGGTTGGTTGGATTGTTAATATGGGATGGATCAGTCAGGCTGTCTTTCAGAGAGGATGAGCTCCTGGTTTTGGAGGACAGGCCTTGTTGGGTGCATGCCTGAATCCTGTCCAGCGTGGCACTGCGTGGTGGATCTGAGGATTTGTCTACATCCCCAAACTTTTTGGGTACGGAAAAACTCCTCTGGTGTCTGCTTCTTTCAGCCGTGGTTATGTTACTGCTTATAGCTCCAGGATTTACATTGAGCTGGCCTGTACTCTTCCGGTTTGTGGTCAGTTTAGTGCTTGATGTTAGGTCTGGTGATGATGAGCTGAAGATGCATATCACAAAAGAAACTTTTAAATATTAAAAAGCAACCTCCCCCTCACCCCCAGCTAAAACCATAAAAACCTCAGTGGAAGCTTGCTCTGGAACATACAGTTCCCTCCATTCCCACATCTGGAATACCCTAAAACAAATCTATAGAGCCCCAACGGCATGAAATCACTAGCAGAAGAGATTATAGTGTATCCCACGCTCTTCCACAGACTTAAGGACATTTCTGCAGTAGAGAGGAACATGCGGCTCTTGATTTGGAAAATGGAAGGGCATACTAGACTGCAGTTCCAAATCAACTGCTCCTCTCTTGCCACCTCCAGGTAGTTCTGTTGTTTGCTTAATGTACAGGAATATCCCAAGAATATTAACTTGTGAATTACTAAGTTGCTGAAAAAATTGAGATCCAAGGGATTCCCTTTAGAGCAGTGATTCCCAACCTTTCCAAACTTGAGACATTAGGCTCAAAGCACCCCTTACTGGATTTGAAGCATGTATGCATGGTTTTTGTGACCTGAATGGGATCCAATTTAAAAACTAGTCTGTATATTACAGTGCTTACTACCTTGCAGAGAGGCTGGGCAGTGGGGATAAAGAATCAGCTAGGCAAGGACAAGCCTGAGTCTACCCCTATCTCATATCTCACAGCACCTTTCAAATGATCTCATGGTACCTGAGAGTGCCATGGTACCCTGATGAGAATTGCTGGTCTAGAGACACACCCAGTTCCCATCCCAGCTAATCAGGATTACAACAGACATGAGTCTCTCCAAGGTATACAGAAGGGCTGTGCGAAACAACACCGTTTCATTTTGACTTCCATTTCCCCATTTCAAAGGGACAGTGTTTCATTTAGCTGTTTTGAAGCACTGTTCTGTTTCGTTGAAACTGTTTCACTGTTTCAACGCATCTTGACATTTCGCCCACAGGCTATAATAGAGAATCATGAAAATGCCTATATCTTTGTCATTTCTTGCCTGATTCGGATGAAAATTGCAGGGCTGGTAGCCCCTTCTGAGGGCATGAAGCCTGCCATGTTTCAAGGAGGTAGGTGTAGGGGTTTTTGTGAAACAGCACCTCAAACTGTTCAAAGCAAAACTAGTATCACTTGCCGACATTGGCAGCCTGCTGTCATCCCGCACGCAGATCTGGGGGCCTCCTCCCACCAGGAGGAGTCTGGCACAGCCCCACAGCCTTCCCAGGGGACTCAGGCCCCCAGATCTATGTGTGGGATGACAGCAGTCTGCTGCTCCTGTCTGGGGCCAGCACCAGCACTGGGTTCTTCCCGGCACTCGGTGTGGGCTGTGCCAGGCAGACTTGGGTGCTGGCACTGGCCTCAGCCAGCAGCAGCAGTCTGTTGTCATCCACATGCTCTGCATCCAGTGAGTGCGGAACCTTTAAAAAAAAAAAAGCCCTGCACTCACCGGTTCTGGCAACAGTGACTGGGGCCTTTGGGTGCTTGTGGCAGAACCCTCCTGCGCAGCACGGGGTAGTGGGGGGCAATGGGGATGGCCCCCCCCACCTCTCACCTGGCACCCATGCAGGTACACAGCACCTCTGCAGGGCACCACACGCTGGCTGGGAGCAGTGGTGGCTCCACCTGTCAGCCAGAGCTCCTGGCTCAATTCCCCAGCTCTTCCTGGGGGGTAAGGCCCCTGGATCTGCATGCAGGGTTTCAGCAGGCTGCTGCTGCCAGCTGGGGAAACAGCCCAGAGCCGCCGCCATCCTCAGCTGGCAGCAGCAGCCTGCTGTCGTCCCGCATCATCCGGGGGCTCATGCCCCTCAGAAAGAGCTGGGGAAAGCGATCAGAGAGCTGGGGGATAGATTGCGGAGCTGAGGAATTGAACCAGAAACTGGGGGAATGTTCAGGGACCTGAACATTTCCCTAGCCCCAGTTCAATTCCTCAGCTCCCTGTTTGATTCCCCAGCTCTCTTCTGAGGGGTGCAAGCTCCCAGATCTGTGTGCCAGGTTTCAACAGGCTGCCACTGCAGGCTGGGGCCAGTGGCAGCACCACAGTCTTCCTGGTGCTTGGCATGGGCTGCGCTGAGTGGCTGCTGCTGGCGCCAGCCTACTGAAACCCCTTTTTCAATTTGGGGCCCACGCCTCCTGGGAAGAGCTGAGAAAATGATCAGAGAGCTGGGAGAAGCTATCAGAAAGCTGGGGAAATGAACTGGGAGCTAGATGTCAATATCAAAGCAGTCCTTCCCACCTCTTCCTCCTCCCTCCCCTTAGTTTCTGTTTAGCTGCAAGCAAGCCCGGCCTTGAAACTCGAAATGTTTACAAACTTTCGAAACGTTTTGAGTGCCCTTGTTTTGTTTTGAAGCTGTTTCAAAGCCTTTCATTTTGATTTCGCTGTTTCAAGCTTGAAACACATCAAAACAGCTTTGAAACAAAACACCCATTGAAATTTTGCACAGCCCTAGTATACAGGTCTGTTGTAGCTATGTTACAGAAAAAGGGGAGTTTGCCAGACCTCAGCCTAGGAGGTCCCTGTGTGAGGTCAAAGACCTCTAGCTAACAAGGCCTGGGGTGAGTGTAGAGGCAGGGAGTGGACACTGTTGTATTTCCCTAAATACCAGATGGATTCTGTGGGGAGCTTTCCTCCAATTTGTGAAATCTTCTTTCCTGGGGATTCTACAGAGAGCTGTCTGGAGGGGTAATTCTACAGACCTGCTGGTAAGAAGTAAGAGAAGGGGAAACCATGAAATAGTTCAGAAGAAAAGGGCTACTGCAAGTATGCTGTTAGCCGCCTGAGGAATCCCTGGATATGTACATTCTGAAGGTAAAATTCCCTATTTGTTCCACAAAAAGGAGCAAATTCTGCCTGTTCAGGTAGTTTTTTAGGGAAAGCTTGATGAAAGGTGTCATGAGTTCTCTGAAACTGGGAAATGACATCTGCTTCTACCTGCCATATTTTAAACAAAGCATCCTGTGTATTTGTTTCAAAATCATGTTTAATACAAAAATTTATTGTGAAATCCTGCTGCTTTTTATTTAAAGAGCCTGCCTGCAGGAAGCAGAAAGGAAGAGAAGTTTATTACAACTGTTGTTGCCAAATTGCTTAGGATTGCCCTTAGACATTTCTATGAGTATGTTCTAAGTGAGATCAGTTGTATCAAAATCACTGTATGTTGCTCAGTTAGCAGGACTTTGCATTAGTGGAAAACATAAAGAGTGTAGTTAAGAGGTTAGGCTCTTACCGAGATAAAACAGTTAAGAGGTCGCTGTTCTTCAAACAATCAGACAGATTATCCACAGCAGCCTCCAAGGTCAGCAGGGCCTCCATTACATAACCCTATCAAATATGTAATGTCAGTCATTTCAACAAAAGCATTCACCAAGAAGTCAGGAAAAGCAATTGTGGTGTATGGAGAACTGAGAAATGCATAATTTATCCTGGGAAAAGGAAAACTATTGCACCAAAGTCATTTCATTGCTGATGTAAAGGTCATTACAAATTTTATTTTCTCTTTTTCTAAATGGTCTGTGAAGGAGTTTAAGGAGGTCAGATAACTTGTCAGGAAACTGATAATGGAATACAGAGTCTCTGACTTCCAGGTCACTGCTTCAGATTCTGAATAAGCATGACAGAATATTATTGTCATTTTATTCTAGTTTGACTATCAGTGTGAAATTAGCAGTCCATTTCTTAAAAGACAGCACTGCGTTTTGGTTTTGTATGTGCTTGTGTGTGTTTTAATCTTAACACCATTAGCACTTAACACTGTATTTTTTGAAAATCTCAGAAGAAATGTCATTGATTGAATAGCTATGCAGATTAGATGCCTAGTCCATCAGCTGAAGATCAAATTAGGTCAGGGTGTGATTTGGTTTTTTTTGTTTAAGTTACTATTATTTTTTTCCCTAACTAATTATAAAACAAGATAGTGTATTAGTCTGTTACAGACCACCAAATCACATTTCAGAATAGTGAGATGGACTCTTTAAGCACCTATCATGAAGAGCGGGAAAAAAAGGGTGTATTATTTTAAGGATTTCAATCTGAGTGATGCATGCTGGAGATCTCATGCTGTCAGTACGAAAATACCACTGGAATTTCTAAAAATTATAAATGTCAGTTTCCTAATACAAAATATCGTATTATACTCAGGAGAAATCTATATTATCTCCTCTCTATAGATAAATATCAGATTATATCAGAGAACTAAAATCAGTGGTCACTTAAGTGATCACTTGTCAAGTGTAACTGAAACTAAGTCCCAAGCAGTCATAGCTATTCGTTGTGTTCTAGAATGAGTCAATTTCACAAAGATGAAAATAATTATGAGCAGAATCAGCTGGAGAAAATAATTAAATATAAGGTTGTTAAACTGGATATAAAAACTTCAAGGCTTTGAAGGCAAGTGAAAGCAGCTGTAAATTTAAAAAGTAAGACAGCGGAAGAAAGGGTAAACTGTTCATTACAAATATAAACTAGAACGCATAGAATGTAGTTTCTCAACCTGTGGTATGCATACCCTTGGGGGTACACAAGACATAGGCAGGGGGTACGTGGGTACCCCAACACTCTCTCTCTCTCGACTCTTTTCCTTTCTCTCTCGCCCCTTCCTCCTCTCAAAACTATGGGAAAAAATTTAATGCGCTGTGCATTGCGCAGCACTTTAAATTTCCTGTTAAAAATTTGGCGTGCCCTCCTAGCTTTGGCCGACATCACCTTTAGCCCAGGTACATAATTGAGTTGAGCACCCCGGTGTAAAAGGTGGCAACCCTACCCACACCAGATCAGACATCTGTCATATCATGGCCTTGCACAACCCTTCTTCCAACATATGGCACACATTAGTTTGTAAATATAAAATCCTCTGTAAAATTCAGTGTTGGTGTACTTATTAAAACTTTCAGAAGTTAAGTGGTACTTGCTACTTAAAAGGTGGAGAAACACTGGTATAGAAAACTGAAAATGGAAGCAAAAAGACAAAAGGAGAATTCTCTGTCCAACTTAATTAAGGACAATAAGGAGGAGATTTTAAAAATGTATTAGGAACAAAAGGAATATTAAGAATCACATTGGTCCACTGATAAATAAAATGGTAGACCTGAATGCAGAAGAGGCAAAAATACTCAGTAAATATGTGTGATTTGTATTTTGTGGAAGAAGCCAGATCATGTACTTGTGTCACATGATAATGACATACCTTTTATTCTAAAAGTAACGATGATAAACAACAGATAATATAAAGTTATCTTGTCCTTCCTCTTAAAAGTGTCTAATCTGTACCCAAGAATTTTGGGAGAACTGGATGAGGATCCTTCTGGACTAGAGGTGTAACAAGGCTGTCAGATATCCTGGATAACACAAATGCATGGGGCAGCAGTAGCTCCTGGCAGCACAACTGGTTAGCAGCTGTTATTTTTGCATCTCTACCCTGCCTCTTCCAAATCAGCAGCCAGAGCTGTTGCCCAGTTGCCCCTGCTTAGTTACACTGCTACTCTAGATTGTTAATGTTTGCATTTTAATAAGTTTTTGTATGGTTAGAAATGTGTAAAGAATGAGAAGGAATCTAATATTATGTCAACTTTTAAAAAAGGTAGTTACAGGACAGTCAGCCTAACATTGATCTTAGAAAAATGGAAGAGCTGAGTTAGCACCAGATTAATCGAGTATTTAAACAAAGTAATATAACTAATGCCAATCCAATTTGTTTTATTAAAAATAGATCTTATCAAACTAACTTTCATTTTTTAAAATATAGTTGCTGTTCTTTTCTATGGTTATGCTCAGATTTATACTACAGCATACTTCCTAAATTCATTAGTCTTTAACAATAATTTGAAGTAAATTATAATGTACATGTGCATTATGTTATTAAGAGTACACCACATCACTTACGCATACCTGAATCTCATCTCCATGCTCTCCTATAACTTCCACCAACCTTGACAGAAGGTCAGACAATGCATGTGCAGAAAGAGGCTGTTTTAGAGCCCTGAATATCTGAAAAGAGCGACCTGCATAATGTCTTGAGGAACTTGACAGCGCAGTTTGTAAAGCAACTTCACTCAGATGCTGTTCCAAATGGAATCCTAAGTAGCAAAGGAATATGTTGATATTTAAATTATGAAGTAGCAGATTTTACTGTGTGGTATATAAAGTTAATTTATGGTTGAAACCTATAGTTAAGCAATTCTTTGCCATGTTTCCTAGCACTTCAAAGGGGTTTGGCAAGAGTTTTTATGGGATATTAATTTATTAAAGGAATAGGACCATTGTCCATTTCCTCTAAATAGGAGAATAACCCCCATTTCAGGGCAATACAGCATACTGAAATTGCTAGTAGCTTAGCAAAGAAGCTCTGGTGGTGGTGGGAGGGGGAGGGAGTACTGGGGAATCCTGGTATGGAGGAGGAGGGAACCAGAGGTTGCAAAGACCTCCTAGAAGGGGAGATATAAAGGGAGGAAGGGGAAGGGACTTGGTAGTGGGGGTATTAGACAACCACACCAGGAGGATGAGTTAAACCCGGAATTCTCAAGGCAGCTCTTGGAAGCCGTACACTTTAGGTCACCCATGACAACCATGTCTCTCAACTACCCTGACATCTGCTGGGAGGAGCAAAATCAACTAGATCTGCCCATTCACATAGGTGAAGGTCCTGTATGCTGGCTAGGAACCTAATGCAGGAGGTATATGGCCCTACTAGGGGAAATGCCTTACTGGACTTAGTGCTTGCTACAGGAGAAGACCTGGTGGGTGATCTGCAGATACAGGGTAACCTAGAGGATAGCAACCACCAATTGTTAGAATTCACAGTGGTGAAAGGTGAGAAATATAACTAGTAGGACAGAAGTGCTAGACTTCAGAAAGGCTAGCTGCAATGAGCTCAGGAGATTAGTAAGTGAGGCACTGAAGGGCAAGAGTACTGGTGAGACAGAAGTCCAGGAAGGGTGGGCGTACAAGGGAATGATACTTTAGGCACAAAAGGGGACCATCCCAGTGCGCATAAAGGGAGGCAAGAGCCAATAAACCCTCTTGGCTGAGCAGGGAAATCCTAGAGAGCTGGGGAGGGAGAGAGGCATAGAGACTGTGAAAGCAGGGGGTAGCCACCAAGGAGGAGTATACCTGCTTGGCTTGCACTTGCAGGGAATCAGGAAGGCCAAAGCAGAAATGGAACTCAGGCTGGCAACAAAAATTAAAAAAAAGACAACAAAAAGTCCTTTAGGTACATAGAGAGCAAAAACAAGGTGCATGGCAACATAAGACCCCTCCAGAACAGACTAGGGCAATTTGTAACAGATAGGAGGGACAAAGCTGAGCTCCTAAACGAGTTCTCTGCATCTGTATTCCTGAACACAGATAAAGACATATCACCTAAAGGGGCTATAGACAGGTACAGGAAGGACTCCAACCCACCAACAGTTAGCACTGACCTAGCGAAGAGGCATTTGGAGGGGCTGGACATGTTTAAGTCAGCAGGCCCAGATGATCTTCAACCCAGGGTGCGGAAGGAATTAACCAATGTCAAACAACCATGTCAGTGGTCCTGCTATGAGCACTCATGGTGCTCAGGATGGGTACCAGAGGACTGGAAAAGGGCCAAT